CTACTTTAGCGAAAATCTCCCGTGTACTTTCCATTACGGACTTTCGCCTCGTCGAAGCATTTTTGGTTCCTGTCGATTGAGTAGCCTCGACGGGAATAGGAGCTGCTTCTGCTATTGAAACCACAGGGTAATCAACCAGCACGGATGCGTCTCCGTTCTCAAGAGAAATTTGCAGACTCTATAATTATATACATATATGTATGTATGTATGAACATATCGCACATTTGCTGGAAGTGTCAATCAAAAAAAAAAAAATAAATAAAAAACTCGAGAAAAACAGCTTTAAAGTTTTGAATTTACATATACATATGTACTCCCATAGTAAAAATCAATGCATATTTTGTTCTACCGGTAATCGATATAGCCGTGAAATTTTTACACAACATAGAAGAAAAGGTAGCGATTATTTCTGCATACTTAAGACGATCTTTGTTTCTTTTTTATTATGACACTATTAAAGTAAATGAGCTATATGTACATAAATACGTATGTATGTATACGAAATTTAATGGTTTTTTTAATACGTACAATTGTATATTTGTAGGCAAATACAATATACAAATATACACACATACTATCTATGTACATATATACATCTATATTTGTACTAACATCTTCCTCCGTAATACTTTCCACACATTGGCTACTCCCTTCCACATATTCTGTACCAAGTAAGCTCAAAACTTTCTGATCTAAATCAGAAAGCGGAGCTGTTAACATTGGAGCATTTCCTGTTGCCGCCATTTGCTTCCTGCGCTCTCTTGCCTTGACGGAAGTCCGGCTTTTCAAATCGCGCCAAACCTAATACAAAAATTGCAATTATTGTGTTTTGCAGATATCTTCTACTATGTGATCTACTATAACTTACCACTTGCCACTGAGCTGCAGATTTTTCGGCACCATTTGTGCTATTTAGCAACATCGCTAGCACTTCCCACTTCCGGGAAGCTTCTTGCCGGCCATGAATCGCGGAGAACTTGCCTTCCGCGAGGCCCTTATTGTCAAGGAAAAAGTCCAGCATTTTGTGGTACTGCTCCGTAGTAGCTCTAGCGCTTCTGTTTTTTTTCCATAATATATTCACACACAACAGTCCCGACAATAATAATACGCGTAACAATAATCAAATTTTCTTTTAAATATTAAATGTCAAACGTCAATATTGCCATATTTATCTTTGCAATTAACGAAAATCGTCGTAAACTTCTTTACCGACATGCCTAACGAATTATGTCGTTAAGTGTGTTTTTGAGAATAGCCTATTCGCTACTGCAAGCTACAAACGTCGCTCATTATCATAACGATTATCGGTCGGTAGGAAAAATGGGAATCGCACTACTGGACCGATTTGAAAATACCTCCAAAAATAGAGTTTTTTATGAATAAAAATAGTTTCTTAAAGAACTTTTTAAAAAAAAGTCCCCTCAGATGACATAACAAACTAGGCTTAAAAATTCTGCATAAAAATATTTGAAAACCTTTTCAACGGAAACGCAATAATGATATATTTTATGCTGTTTTTTTTACTTTTATCAAAGATTGATTTACGAAAAACTTAAATAACTGGGTTATAACTATTCTGATTTAGACTTGTGGGATCTCGGTAGAAAGGTATTTTCCCACTATTTTTATTTATGTGAAAGAAAAGTCATTCGTGTCCCAATATTTTTTTTATTCAAATACCAACACATCTTAATTCAACTTTGAATAATGTTCGTTCATCCTACCTTTCTCTTTCATCCTTTGAATGAGTTTATTAGCAAAGAAATAAAAAGGGTGAGAAAATACCTTTCCAATGATATCTCACAAGTCTAAATCGGGAGAGTTTAGGCTCAGTTATTCAAGTTTTTCTTATACCAATCATTGAAAAAAGTTAAAAAAAACAGCATCAAAAATCTCAACATTACGATTCCGTTTAAAATTTTTTTTTTATTTTTTTTTTAATATTTGCATGCAAGTTTTTTAAGCTTAAACCGTTTTGTCATTTGAGGGGATTTTTTCAAAAAAAATTTTTGAGAAACTATTTTTATTCATGAAAAACTCCATTTTTGGAGGTATTTTCAAATCGGTCCAGCTCACTTATATCTTAATATTTTTCGGAAATTTTTTGGTGGACGTCTTAAAATATATTAAATTTTATAATTCTAATGGAAAAATAGTACCGCTTTTTCTTTGTATGGGGAGCGATGCAGGTTAATGTACATACATATATTCAAATTAGCGAGGGAGAGAAGAGGAAAGAAATACGCGAAGAAAATAAACAAAAACATCGAAGTAAGCGTATTTTATTTGAATTTTGTGTTTCAAATATTTTTGACTGATCACTTAAGAACAATTATAGTGGGTGTATGTATGTGTCAAAGTAGTTTTTTCTTTTTGTTAGGTGCTGTATTCAAAAAAAAGCGTAAGGAGCTGATGTTTTTATTTCATTAGGTTCTCGTACATACACTAGTCAGAAAAAGTTTGCGTACAGACAGAATGGGCATTCAACTAAAAAAAAAAAAAACGTATTGAAAATTAAGTATTTTTAACATAAATTCAGGTTTTATTTACATTTTGAAATTCAGTTTTAATATAACTAAAGCTTTGCATCCAAAAATACAAAAACAAAAACTAAATTAGTAAAAGAGTCCATGATTAGCAGAAAACACCTCAGAAAAAGTTTGCATACAAAGTAATCAACAGTTTTTCTTATACCACAAAATTAAGGAAACTAATGGTTAATAACTTGTCGGATATCCTTTACGTTTCAAAACTTCTGCTAAACGCTTTGGCATTGATCGTACCAGTTTTGCCGTCTCTTCCGAAGAAATTTTATTCCATTCTTCGAGAATGACCCTTTTCAAGTCGGGTTTGGATGAAATGTTGTGTTCCCGAATCCTGCGCTCCAATAAGTCCCACAAGTGCTCAATGGGATTGAGATCTGGAGATTGTGGTGGAGTACGCAATTGCTTTGGCACATTATATAGCAGCCATAGCTTGATTACCTCTGCGGTGTGTTTCGGATCATTATCCTGTTGAAAGTGAAACACATTTTCCAAGCCAAGTTTTTGAGCACTTTGCTTTAAATTTGCCTTTAGAATAACTAGATACAATCTCTTATCCATAATTCCGTCAATAAATTCGAGGTTACCCACGCCACCACTCGCCATACACCCCCACACCATAACACCACCACCGCCGTGCTTCACTGTAGGCACTAAGTTTTCCTTATTGAAGCCTGTACCTTGTTTTCTCCAAACCAATTTACGTCCTTTGATCCCAAATATGCAAAATTTGCTTTCATCAGAAAATATAACCTTTTCCCAAAACTCTGGTAGCTTATTAATGTGCTCATTGGCAAAGGCAATTCGCTTCTGCCTATTTACAAGCGATATGTAAGGCTTCTTTTGTGCAACTCGACTATGATATCCGCTTTTTTGAGAATTTTGCATACAGTATCACTGCAAATAGACTTGTTAAACCTTTCTTGAACATCTTTTGCTATTTGGGAAGATTTAAGTCGAGGATTTTTATCAACTTCTTTAATAATAAACCGCTTTTCTCGGTCACTCAGCTTAGAGGGGCGTCCAGAACGATGCTTAGCAACAGTAGAACCTCTTGATTTATAATTAGAAACCACTCTTTGAATAGAAGAGTCAGCTCTTCCTACAGTGTTCCCGATTTCACGTAATGTTTTGCCTTCTTTCCAAAGCTTAACGATTATGTCCCTTTCACCGGAACTAGTTACTTTCCTTTTACCAGCCATTTATCCAAAACGTCGAATTTTTAGCACAATTATCGTAAGAACACTAACTACGCTTAAATAAACTCTTTTTGCACTGTTTCGCTTGAATTAGTAATGTGGGAGTCCCCTTTAGAGGTTTTGTACGCAAACTTTTTCTTCGCCAGGGAAGGCAAATTTTGAAATATTAATCGATAAAATTGATGTTGCCACATGACTTTTAAATCGTAAAGGGTTTAATAAAGCTCTTGAATATTGCGTTTATGACTCTAAATAAAAAATATATAATGGATAAATTTGAATATGAACAATGGTCATTACAAAGGCATAGGCTGACTGTGTACGCAAACTTTTTCTGACTAGTGTATGTACAAGTACTACAAGTATCTACATATCGTTGTTTAAAGTACAAAACCGCGTATCGTCATTCTGCAAAACCGCGTAACTCAAACCTGTTCATCGTCTCTATCGTCATGTACCCAGATAGATGTTACTGCGAACACATGGATTGATACTACACAGATGGATTGATACTACTCCGGCATCCACTTCCTCTGGTTCTATTACTGCTCCCTCACAGTATGTTCTGACTGATACTAATTCTGCGACCATTAGCCAAAATTCTGACTGGAAAACAGCTAAAAACAGTCGTTCGAAGCCCAGGAAACCTTTAATTATTGGCTCAAACAACAACAATGAATTAAATGTGGTTTCTAATCAGAAGTGGTTGCATTTATCTTCGTTTTCAAATAATGTTACTGCTGAGAACATAATCAGTTATGTATCTAAACATGCTAAAATCGATGTTAAATTTCTTAACTGCTACCCGCCAATAAAAAAGGACACTAATGTAGATGAAATTAAGAAAGTAAATTTTAAATTAGGGGTTAATGAGTGAGTGCTTTTATGACAAAGTGCTCAATGAGAATATTTGGCCAACGAATGTTATGATTCGACCCTTTCGGTTTTTCAAAAAGAAGGTGCACCACAACAATTGCCGCATGAATCATCCCAAGTATATGGAGCATCTTACAATATCTTTTCAATATGTATCCGGCCTGCGGACTAAATCTAACTCGCTTTTCAATATGAGCTCTCATGCTGAATATGACATTTTTGTCTTGATAGAAACCTGGCTGAATTCGGAGTTTTTTGACAGCGAATTCTTCGACGCCAATTTGTATTGCGTTTATCGCAAAGATCGGGACTACTCCAAATTAGGCCTCTCGAGAGGAGGTGCAGTTCTCATCGCTGTTCATCGTCGGATTTGCTCATCGCTTGTGAGTTTGAGCAACACGGATTCCTTGTTGGATCAATTGTGTGTCTCGGTGCTTGACAGCTCCAGAACTTTTATCTGCCCGTCATACATCCCTCCGTCTAGTGTGGACCCACTCTACAAGTCGCACGTTGACAACGTTGTCGATCTCGTCTGTAATCATCATAGTGATAATTTTTGCATTCTCGGAGACTTTAATTTACCGAACGTGGAATGGTCATACTTAGACAATACTTCAACTTTACTTCCTAAATATGTGAACGGTTTTTCTGAATCGTATCTTGTAGACAACTTCTTAAGTCTTAATCTATCCCAGATAAATAGTCTCACTAATAAGTTATTTAGAACTCTTGATCTAGTTTTTATTCATGAAAATATAAACTTTAATTTAAGAGAATGCCTTGACCCACTTTCGTGTCCCGGTTTGCATCATGTGCCGCTTTCTCTTGATCTCGAATTTTATAACTTTGAAAGTATCTGTTTCAATAATCTAACGCTTAGTTTTAGTTTTAGGCGTTGCAATTTTGATGTTATCAATCTAGAAATCTCCTCCACAGACTGGGAATCACTATTTTCTGGATTCGATGTTACGGATTGTTATACTATTTTTTAAAATAGAGTCAATGAAATCTGTGTGAACAATATTCCGCTAAAAAACAAAACTGCTATAAAATTCCGTGATATACTAAGAAACTAAAAAAGCTACAGAATTTGAGAAATAAGTTTTCAAGTCGACACTGTCTATACAGATCTTTCAAAAGCCTTCGATAAAGTCAGCCATTCAATTTTGATTTCTTAATTAGCTAGTTTGGGTTTTCATTCACTATTTTTATCTTGGATAAAATCCTATCTTCAGCATCGAAACTGTGTAGTCGTTATCGACAATATGCAATCCAACTCTTTCATAGCGTCGTCTGGGGTTCCACAAGGCAGCATTTTAGGCCCCCTGCTATTTGTCATTTTTATTAATGACATATCGAGTTGTTTTGTTAACTCTAATTTCCTTTTATTCACTGATGATTTG